TGTATCTATCATTTTTGGCTCCACAGGCTATTTTGGTTCGATCTAGATATCAGTGGCATACATATCTCATTAAAGGCCTGTTGAACAGTTATCATACGCACAACATGATGGACTTGCATCATATCTAGAAAATCATGAAATCCTCACAACGTATGATATATATTTTATGATGTGAGCAAAGAAGAGCAGCTAAAAGGAACAACGTTATTTATCAAGAAAATTTACATAATCATCACAACATATTATAAATATTTAAGAATGTGACCAAGGAAGAGCAAGTTAACAGGGACTAAATCAAAGAAATTCATTCATTTCAGTTTGACCACGGGGAGGATGGAGGAAGGAGAGGAAGAAAGGAGAAGCTCATTTCAAAGTACCTCATCCACAGTGCGCTTAGTCTTTTGTAACGTTGAGGCTGAAAATTTCTGTAGTGCTACTCCACTGTCAAATCTCAACGTATAATTTGAAGGTGCTAAGTGGATGGCTCTTAATAAAGTCTTTTTACAATCTTGCCACTGTTCAGCTTCATAATGTGTTCTTGCTAAATAGAGAAGCACTTGACTGTCGGTATTATGATAAAATTTCCGCAAACAATTTTCATACTGCAAGATACAAGCCCATCAACACATTCAGCGATGCGGAAGTATCAAACATGAGAAATAGCTTAAAGTGAAGAGAAAATAAGAACATACCATTTTCACAGCCAACGAGAAGTTCCCTTGAGCAAAGTGAACATGTGCAAGATTAATCCACACATCAGGCATTTGGACAAAAACATTTCCACTGGCAGCTTCTTGAACCTACAAGGAAGAATGTCCAGCAGAGACTACATAAACTTGGAGTTTTGCCTCGACTGGGTAGAAGTAGAAAAAGTTAACGGACCTGTGTGAAAAGATCCTTTGAAATGTCAAATTGACCTTTTTCTGCCAAAACAACACCAGCACCATTTGCTGCATAGAGATTTGCATTATGCTGAAAGAGAACCTGATGGAATAAACAGTATTGGCACATCAGGCAACTGAAAGTTCAACCGAGGGTTTTATCAAAATGCAAACAGACAAAATCCAAAAAGGAAGTCTGAAGCTTACACAGAAGCACATGTTCACATGACAGGGACATGATGACTATTTCAAAAGATAGTATGGCATACAAAACACACCGATGACACATCAAATACACTGTTTCTATTGGGATTATTTATTTCCTTTAACGTACAAATATCTAAAGAGAACACCTAGACATATATGCTAAAACAAGAATCTAATATATGCATTATACAAAGTTATGCCATTATCTCACTTAGTACATTCACAGCAACTTTCGATGCTCTCCTGTACATATACACAAAATCTGTATACTCTTAATCTCCAAAAATCTAAAAAGAAACATAAAACATAACTGACAAATTCACTTCACGCACTTGAGACACTTCAAAGACACAACGATCTCGGACAGGCAACCAAAAAAAGCATTGAGCAAGATCATTGTGCCTTGTAGACAAACATATTTGAGAAGTGTCCAAGGGAGATAAAAAGATCCCAAATAGAAAAATTTAAAAATGAAAACTCCAGGTTGCGGTAAATGAATTCACTTCAACACGCATTATCCACTTAAAGCTGGATAACCTGGTAACATTTCAAGGCAATATTCGGCTTCAATAGCAATCATAGTTTTATCTTTTGCTATCTTCAACTAAGGTATAGTATTACTACTTCACTGAAGCCAATTGTCAAAAACATATTAGTTACTACTCAGCTTTAACAGCTAGCAACTTACAAAGAATTAGAACGCACATAGTTTATAAGCTAAACTGAGTCAGATGCGTAAGGTTTGCTATAGTGGTAGAGCACCTCCACCACCAAACGGTAGGAGGAGGTTGCAGTCATGCGGATGGTAAGTGAGAATATCCTTGATCCTCTTGGGTGGGATTGTTGGGATGGGAGGAACCTGAGTTTTTAAATTGCATTGGGAGAAGAACAATACCTTTGTATAGAGTTCTTTAGCCTTCTCTAGATGAGTAGCTTCCAACTTTGGAGCTCTTTTCTCATTCCGAATCGCCGCGAAGTAGTTCCAATTTCCCTTTACAATACAAGAAAATATATGATAAGCAGATGTTCCAGGTTCTACTATTAACTTAATTAGTAAGGACATAAGTTGTGCCAGTCATAAGTCCATGCAACTTTCTTCAACTCAAGAAACAAGCAGATACAATAGGGTGACATAAAAACATGCTAAAGGGGGGGTTATTATATACTTCACCAACTAATGACAAAAAATCATGAGATGAGAAAATTTAATCAGCTCAAAACAAACATATTCACCAGACAAAGAGTAGCATAAGAATCATTTCCATCAGTTGCATCTTTAGCAGCCCGAAAAGTTTCTTTTGCCTTGACCCAATCATCATTCTTAAGTTCCAAATCACCAAGCATTAGCAGTGCATCTGGACACTTCTCGTCCACCTTGAGTGCATCACCAATCTGTGATCAATGAAAATCTATTGTAAGAAGGCTTCTGGGTAGCGAGAATAAACAAAGGATAATATGCACATAAGGATACAAGGGGAGAAATAACAACCAGCTCAATGCTTAGCTGCACGTTATTTCGGGCTTTTGCAATGGCAGCCAGCCGCAGATAAGCATCTACATAACCTGGATACTGAAATTCAAGAAAAGAGGTTATACGGGATTGCTAAGGATGAAATAAAGACAGAGTGCAAAAAGATACAACAGTTATATAATATCCCCACAACAATATTCATGTTAATCTTACTGGCTTTAAAGCTGTAAATAGAGGAAATCATTTAACTAACTTTGGGACAGCAAAATCATCCTCCAATGGTGTTATTTACAGCTAATGAGGCATCATCACTAGAATTATACAAAGCCATCTGTATTGGGCATCAAAAGACTGACTCTTCGGTTTAATTAAGTTCGAGCAAGTTTTTTTCAATGAGAAAGTTTGAGCAAGTTAAGAAAGGCCCCATTTGATTCAAGTCATATAATAGCCCATTATGAGTCTACTACATTTTATCAATAACTTATCAGATAATTATAGTACATAATTACTTAGGCAACAGATGTATCCGTTGCTATAAAGATCTGCATCTCTACATTAATGTATCCCCATATCTAAATGTGGAAGAACCGAGATTTGAAGAGTGTAACCAACATAAATTTCTCACCCTCTCCCTAAAGTTGTTCTCTGATATCTTTGGAAAACCAGCCACCATTCTCCTTTCTGCACTTGATCCGATTAAGACGGTAGGGATGCTCCTCCTATTTGTGATATTCCCTACCTTTATTCATGATTACATAGGCAAAAGGTAGTGGCAAAAGAAGCAGCTGAGAAATGAAAATTTCCCCCTTCCATTGAGATGGGGAGTTTCTCCTTCACCACCATTACTTCTTATTACTTTTGACTTCATGCAACCACTTTGTATTTAACATCTTTTATAGGATTTCAGAAACATTTATGCAATGATATAACCAAAAGCATGTGTCTATTATACTATTTTTGTTTGAAGATAGGTTATCGATAAGCTTGCAAAAAATAATATTGAATTTTTAAATAATTAGTAGGCGTATTATTTTCTGTGAAAAATTGATAAATGATACACTTTTTATACCGAAGATTATCAAATTTAAAAATATGAAATTCTTTTTATCTCCATCCATTTAACTAAATTAAATTAATTATTCTTTTCCAAATAATCAAATTGGCCACCAATCCAATTTAATGAATCTATGAACGTATTCATATTCTTTAATTTTGATCTTTCATTTAACATCGTTTTGACAAATAAATGGATAAGTCTTTCAGTCAACAACTTTATACACCAATTATAGATGCTATAAATAATTACAAATTTAAGGAGTTCAAACTAATGCTTCCTCTGTTCCAAAAAGACTAATAGGATTCCACCTACAAGCATTATCTCATCTAATTTTCAATGTGAACCGAACATTGCTTTCTTTTTTGTAAAATAAAATTAATTTAGAAACTATGTAAAAGTACTATATATCATAATTTTTTTATAGTTAAAAAAAATCAAAACAATGTAAAGGTACTATATATCACATATAATTAATTAAGCATTCGAATCAACATAGAGTAATACTATCTTACATTCTTTTCACCTTGATTAGACAGCTCATGTTTTTCTTTCCTTTTTTTTAATCTTTTAATAGTCAAGATTAGATTGGGATTTTTCTTTTGTCTTTTCCCTTTGCAACTCATACTATTTCAAATTTTTCCCTTTGAAATACCCAGACCTTCCACATAACAGTCTATGAATGCATAGAGAGAAAATTGAAGGACACTACTTCTCAGAAGTCCAACCATCTTAATCATATAACAACCAAGAACAAAAACTGAGCTTCATCAATGTTAGGAGTCACCAATAAGCCAGCTCATAATCAATTGGACATGCATGCATACCTTAAATAAGATAAGGCGGTAAAAGATGCTAGCAGTTTCTGTGTCATGCAACTGCTCCAGTAATCTTGCCATGTTAAAGAGTGTTGAAACTTTATTCCAAGGAAGTTCCACAGAAATTCCTTGTTCCTCAAGTCTATGAAACAGCTGGAAGTCCTTGTATTGCTGAACAGATTCACTGGCATTGATTGGATATTGTGCACTTTTAAACATATCAGATCGTGCTTCACCATTGGAATATAAATGCCCTTCAGAAATTGGATCATCAGACTCTCCTTTAGCATCAAGGAATTTAAGCCATATACCATCACCTAGAGCTTCCTTAAAACTTTGTGTAGCAAGCTGGAAAATCATTAATCAATAAAGGTTAGTGATCTAGATAATATGCCATTATTGAATGCAATGATAAATCTAAACATGCAAGCAGGTCGAAATCGATGACAAAAAGAAACTTTACAGACCTCAAATTCTCCCCTTTCAAAATGGAGGACGCCAATGTTGTTGAGTAACTCTATTGGTACTTCTTCATTTGACTTCTTAAGTAAATTCCGCGCCTGCAAAATTAATCAGGTCTTACCTTAGTTAAGTATACCAAAATCTTCTTTCAGAGAGCTTAAAATCTAATGAATTTCAAATTTGATCATTTCTTTGGTGCAGTTTTCTTAATCCACCTAAGCTGTTCATAGTACCATCAAGAGAAATTTACAACACTCATGTTACACAAAGCAGTAACTCCAGAAAGCAATTCTGGATGCTCAATCTCCAGCTACTCACATATAAAGCATGCCATATATGCATCTAATCTGTGTAGAACTCTAATGTCTTCAATCAGACAAAAGGTATTTCCAACTACCAAAACTTTTGATTAATAAGATTTCCAACAGCTAACTACTAGAGTAAACTATGAGCTAAAACATCTGTAAAATGAAAGTACGTACTAGATTTTAATTTTTTGAACAGATGGAAATGAATAGCAGAGCTGCAACCAGAAAGAAGAAACAAGAAAGATGCATGAAATTTCAGCAACTTATAAGTTTTGGAAGGCGGAAAATTATGGAGCAGATAATTTTAAACTCTTCATTTCAGCTAGAGATAGAACTTAGAGAGAGAGAGACAGAGGTCAAATAGAATGAGAGGGGTCCTCGAAGTATTGAAGATCAGAAAGACTGCTTAATTAGTAGATGTTTCCATCAAGAATACCCTTTTTTATCAGTAGAATACCAAGCTTATATCTGCTAAATCAAGTTCTAAAACAACCAGATGTTCTCCTCTTCACTCCTTCAAGAAGTACATTCTACTTTCTGGGAGCATAACTAAGTCAAATGAGCAAATATACAGAGATAAATGGAAATATTCGAGGCCCTTACTGTTTTAAAGGCTTCTAAAGCAGCAGCAGGATCATTTGAGATTAACAGTTCTCCTATATCCAAAAAGGCCTGCATAGAAGCATGAGAAGATAAATAAAGCAGATCTCAGGAAGAGAACAGTATCTGACTCAAGATACATGCCATCCTAGTCCAATATTCTTTTGTGAAGTAAATGATTTTATTACTGTTGGGAAATCCCAGTATACAAGTAGTATACCAAAAAGTAGAGGGACCCGAACTACCATCCTAACTCCTAGTCTAATTTTAAATGGCTGAAAGCACTATATCTGGTGACATAAGATGGAACAATAGCATTTAAAGGTCAGCAACCATAAATCACTGTATATTGGAAAAGGGATAGGGAAAAACCCAATCAGTTACCAGTATCCATGAAAAGAGTAGGAAAGACAAATCTTCAATTAAATTCAAAACTGGACTTTTTTTTTTTTGATACATTCAAAACTGGACTCCGCCCTCCTTATGTCAGTTCCACTAAATGTAGTAAACTGACTTAACCTAGTGAACCACATCAAATAAAAACTGAACTAATGATTTAGAAATTAATTGATCAATGTTGATCTGTAAAATGACAAACCGACAATATCCTTTGATAATTACAGTCTGCGCCTGTGGGACCTAAAATCGTATCAATTATTTTGTATTATATCTTCTCAATAATAGTTTCCCCAGTAGATAAACTTCAAAAAATTACTTATGAAGTGAGAATATGCAAAAAAATATCTTAACCTAATAATAAGTATTGAGTATCTAAGTTTCAAATTCTCATCTAAAGTAGGGTTTACAGTCTAAATTGCTCAGACATGGCTGCGGGTGTCCGACAAGGGTGCAGATCTAGAGGTTGAATACTTCGAGATGTAAATTCTAAGATTCGGGGATATAGATCCTAGTACGGATACGGGTGCGCGGATCCGACTAAAAATAATTCAAAAAACAAATAAAAAAAAATATGTATATATATATAAATCTTTAAATTATGATAAATTTTGTGGAATACTTATGTACAACTTGTAAAGTGTGGATTTCTTTTTATTCTCAAGCTATAGATAAGTAAAGGATTGATTTCTTAGATAAGGTATGCTATTTTCTTCAAACTTATCCTAGTTGTGGTTCTGATTTTGGGAATCAAATGTATCTCGTGTCGAATATTTCCGTATGTTGTGGTCAAGTACCCAAAGTTGTTTGACCAGATCCAGTACGGATTCCATAACCACACTCATACTAGTGTCGTGTCGACACGGGTGCGGCACCTAAATTGCCATGTCGGAGCAACTTAGGGTTTACTTATTATTAAAATGTTTTCATGGTTGGACAAATTTGTTTCCATCATTTTAAAGCAAGTCAAAGTCATATCATGAATTACACCAAACATGGCGTTAAGCACTTTAAAAAGTATGAAGCTCGATCACATCAAGCTGTTAATAAATTCACTAAATCTGGTACATGAATATAAAATTAGAATATTGTTAAGATTCAAAAGAGAAGATTTCCAGTTTTTAATTGCCAGTAACATGAAAAAAAAAAAAAAGGTCATGGAGATACAGTGGCACAGAAACAATTTCGATAAAAAGAACCAATGAGTTTATTTCATCAACAATAAGCAGCAGGACAGTGGTATGGCATTTTATAATCACATACTAACAGATTTTAAACTCCCACCGTCTTTTACTCAAGAGACTAAAAGGATTGCATCCGCATCACATTTCCTTTTTTCAGAAACTATCTTTTATTTGTTCATTTTGCCTTTTTTCCCCTCTTCTTTAGTTCCCTGCACCTACAAAGGCCTTCTAGAAACTATTATATAGAATAACTGACAACATAAAAAAGACCTGGGGATCACGAGGATCAATCTTAGTGGCTTTCTTCAAGTATTCCTGAGCTTTCTCTGTCTGGCCAAGCTGCACATAAATGTGTGCAAGAGCCTACAACAACAAAAAATAAACTATTCAAAGAACAAAAACAAAATGTTGAAAATAGTCAGAACGGAAAACAATGAACATAAGAATTTATCAATTTTTTTTATACAATAATTAAATGTTGACAATATTCCCTCCCAACAAAATACTCTATCAAGTATCAACTCACTTTCACTGTCTCATAACTTTCAGGGTAAACCTCCAAGACTTTCTCAAAATTTGCCTGCGAACTCCGAAGATCTCCCAACTTCAGCTGTACTTGTCCCAATCCTAACTTAGACAAGCAAAATGGTAAAACAGATCAAAGCATGATTTAGTTGGCAAATTTTACTTTCCCAATTGAAAGCCTGAAACCTTTTGTTGCACGTTACATTCTCCAACCACCACAATTAACCTGTTTCAGAGGAGGCAAGATGTGTGCATTTTCTCAAGGGAATTTTAGTCATTTGAAGCACCTTTTTTTATGAATCATTCTTGGCAGGTATGTCAATGATCCTCCAATATCTGATGAATTTATCATCTAAGTCATATAGGGGCTCAAGGTGGTTATAAGGAGACAACTTTTCAGTTTCAGACTTATTAAGCTGGTGAGAGGCCCAGCCACCCAGGACCAACTTGGAAGAAAGAAGCCCAGAAGCGTGGCAATTCTTTTAAGGGTCGTTTGGTTCATATGAGGGATAGACAAGGATATACCATGGGCTGGGATATCCCATGGGATTAGCTATCCCACCTTCTATACGGGATAGCTAATCCTCTCATTTTGGTATAAAATTTATCCCACCATTAACTAATACAAAACATGGGATAAGTACAATCCCATATTCTATCCCGGTAACCAAACGACCCTTAGTTGCCTATATCTATTCTTTTTCATTTTTTCATGCTACACCTGCCGATTATATAAACCTACTTAGAAAGGCATTTGCCATTCAGCCATCTATCATAGATTAAAACTTATGAACCTTGGATCACAACAATTTTCTAAATGGAAATTCAAAGCAACAAAAACCTTGAAAAGAGAAATAAAAGCAAATACTTAGTGACAGACAGCACAAAGAAAATGTACCGTAATAGGGTAATACAAATTCATGTGGCTTATTGCTTTCTTTTACAGATGCCATGTAGTACATTCCAGCTTTCTCATAGTCACCCTTAAGTCATGGAAACAAAATGAATATCATCAGATTGAAGCTTTAGGTGGATCATAAACAAGGATCATGCTATCAAGGGTTTTTGTTTTTTCAGACCTTGCTGTGGTACGAGCGTGCCAAATTGTAGTACGAATGAGACTTAGTTGGCCCATGTGTGGTTACAGCAAGTGCAGTCTCAGTCAATTGCTCCACTAGAAAATGCTGACCAGTGAAGAAAAAATGATTGGCCAGATAATTTAGAGCCATTGCACAGTAGGGATATGTCTCGAAAGCTCTTTGCATCTTTTCCATTCCTCTCCTAATACCAGACGCTGTATATAAAGAGCTGATACCAAATTAGACATCATACTGTTAAAAACTCTATTTTTAAATGATTAAAATCAGGAGACTCGCACAAACTATAATCCCTGAGAAATCTCAACCAGAGCTTTCTAAACAAGATAAGGTATTTCCAAATGACTCTTTCTAGATATGCGAGTAAGAACTTCTAATTTTCTCCGAAGAAGCAAAATTGATCTTATTGGTCACTTTTGCACCTTCAAGGCTTTACAGCAATCTGACTTTTAATTATATCTCCTGCCTGGAATGTGCAGAATTAAATTGGAGTCACATATATAGACTCCACACATCAATCTAAGGGACAGAACTGACCATCATTGTTTTGCAAATCCAGAATTGCTAGTGCCACCAGAGCCTCCACATTCTCTGGGTCTAACTACAGTTTTAGAAGTAGTTACAAGAGAGTCATATCAGTTAAAAATAATACAACGAATTGTAACAAAATTATTAACACAAAATCTTTGACTTGCCTCCAACACACGACGAAAAGCCTGCTTTGCCTTTTCCACTTGGCCCAACTTGTATCGACAGAGACCTATTCCGAGCCTTACCGCAGCAGGACATTCTGGATAAACTTGCAAGGCCCTCTACCAAATACATGTGATCCACAAAAGGGTAACATAGAGTCAATATCGCTTCTTCTAACAATATTTAGAGAACTATAAAACATTTTCCATGATAGATGAGTTTTGATGTCTCCCAACTGGATTATTTTTTCATTTGGTGCGAAGAAGGGGTAGCTACGCCCATTCTCCTATCCAAGGCCAACAAATTAACCCATCTATAAAGTAATGGATGGACGACGAACCTTATATAGCTCCAGTGAATCAGAATACCGTCCACGGCTAAACTGAACACAGGCCTGCAAAAGATTGGAGAAGGCAGTTGCTATGAGAGTCAATTCAAGATTTTGAAGCTTGAAATTAGCCTATAGTTAGAATGGTTTGCACCAGAGCACAAGAAGCGAAAATTACATCAGCTGATAGATGCAGTTCTTCAGTTAATTATTCTTCACATGTTAACATGGTCATCTACAACACAAGTCTCGGACAGTATATTAATTTCATTCCCGAGCATATTGAAACGTTTAAAGCTGACCAACCACCATCATTTTTAGAAGACAGTTCTTAACTTCATAACGCCATGTAAAAATTTTAACATATTAAAGGTTTCTGAAAAAACAAGCAAGGAATAGGCTTACCTGACCCAGGAGAGCAGGAACATTATCACGATCTCCATCAAGTACAATCTTGAAAGCAGCAAATGCCTGCTCTATATCGCCCTTGGCAAGTAAAAGCTGACCTGTCAAGCAGATGTGCATGCTCATCCAACTGGTCAACAGTTACATGAGTACTATGACACCTTTTTATTCCAGCTTAACAAAAAAATACAACCTTATATTCTAGAAAAGTGTTGACAAAGTAGTGTTTATTACAAGCATGATGAAAAGCTCAATCCCTCAAGCACTAGTCAGAAACTCAACATATCTGGTTGGCCATAGCCTATAAGTTCCTAATAAGTCTAGGCAGCCCTTTTCCAAAGTGAATAGTAACGGGAAATTTCAGATGTTTGAAAACCCTCTTGAGAAACTCAAGAAACAGTGTAAGATCCAGCAGTCAATGAAGCAAACTAACATGGCATAACCTATTTGTTTTTAGTAATTTTACGCAACCCTTTTCCAATGTGAATAGCTGGGGAAAAAACAGAAGTTTGAAAAACTGGTGAAATAACATCCATTCAGCCCTGGGCACATTCTGTAGACTTAACCAAACAATTAGGTTAAATTATCACTCTCTTTAAAATTCTATCTTTTACAGCCTTGACAAAGAATATCCTACCTGTTACAGGTGTCAACTAAATGCATACGGGTAGCTCAACATCGGTCCACAGACTTGTTGCAATGTTTTAGTCAATTTATATATAAAAATAAACCTAGATTGGCCGTCCATCACAACTTACAGATTTACCCTCTCAGAAGAAGCTTTCAGTAATTCTATTGCATCAGCAAAAAGATTTTAAATTCAACTGCAGAAAGGCATCAAATTACTTGTTTCAAGCAGTAATATTTATATTAAAGAAATGAAATAATGATCACCTTTTCCAACCCAAGTAGTGGGCTCGTGCATGTCAATTCTAGATGCTTTATTATAATATTGAGTTGCCATTATAAAGTGCTCTTCTTTTTCTCTTTGATTCGTCTCAATCTTCCCAAGATAACTATAATATGCACCCAATGCATTTAGAATGGCGATCCTCTCATACCTCACGTCTGCATAATATTCATCAATCTCTGCACCATAACAATGTAGAATAGGAATTAGTCTTTTTTAAAGAAAGAAAGACAGCAACTTTAAATTCTCTGACTTTTCAATAAGAATGGATAAATACTCATTCGATGCACTTAAACGTGTCATAAGTACCTGGACTAGACCCTTCTTCCAATATTTGTCGAAACTGATCTATTTTCCCTTGTTTAAAATATTCCCTCTGCAAAATCCATCATACATGGAGGGGAAGACATAGAAAATTTTTAGAGAAACAAAAACCAAGCATTGCGAAACGCGAGACTTATCATTCAAGTTTTCTATTTAAATTTTGTAAAACTGCTCTTATCCCCTCTACAACATAAACACCAAGCACAAATTCTATTTAATGCAACAAAAATTCGCATGCCACTAAACTGAACATTCCAACAAAAGGTCAAACAAAAATGAGCTGATAATACACAAAGCAACATAATTTCCTACATGTGAAATTTCAACCCTAACAATTTTATAAGAGTGTGTGTGTGTGTAAGAGAGAGAGAGAGAGAGAGAGAGAGAGAGAGAGAGAGAGAGAGAGAGAGAGAGAGAGAATTGAACGTACAGCGATAATAAGCCAGAGATCAAGAGGAGCTTGTTCAGCCTTGAGAATGTCAAGAATATCAGAAGCATCCCTTGGGAGTTGGTCCAATGATACTCTAACTTCCTCCTCGGAATTTTGTACTGGAATGTATACACTCGCCATTCAATTTCGCCTCAAATTCAACCAATAAATAGCAAAACCCTAGGGTTCTTTATAACGAAGAAGAAGCATATATAAGAGCTTTCAATTTGGAAAACTTCAAATTCTGTAAAGAACTGAGCGAATATATATATGACTCTGTGTGTGTGTCTTCTCGAGCTGGTTGATTATTACAGTAGCTTCGAAACACAGAGTGGTGGGTTGATTATTACCCAGGAGCTCTCTTGATTTTATTTGTAATGTAATTTCGCGCAGATTAGAGTGTTGTGTGTATATATATGCTTATCTATGTTTTTCCTCTTTTGTCCTTAAGTTTTTCTATTTGTTCACTACCCTTTTAATGGGAAGATCTCATGATTATTTGAGTGTTCTAATTATTTTGGATCTATAGTTCAATGCTGAAATTATATATCCTAAGGAATCGTTTGGTAATTGGGTAATATCATAATCTTGCGATAGTATTTGATAGAAACCAAAAATGTTAATTTCTAGCAAACTTTATAGACTAAAATTGATCAGTTCATACTTAAGGGACTAGTTTGAGCCTTACCTTAAACATAAGGGATGATTGTCGTCTATAAGAGTATAAGGTCGCCGATCCTAAAAGCGACCTTGTATTTCTTCTAAAAGACAAAACTACCCTCTCAAATTCCTCCTGTATCCACATATATAGAGGTCACCTATCCTAAAGGCGACCCTTATATTTCTTCTAAAAGACAAAATTACCCTCTTAAGACGCCTACTTTCTTTTCAAATGCACTGCTCTTTCATCTCATCTCCTCAGTTGAATTCAAAACCTTTGAGATTCGACGAACACAATCAAAATCCAAACCTAAATTCTTCACTGATCGATCGATCATCTGTCGATTCATCAATTATGCAGAAAAATTACAGCTATAAATATCCTCATTGTTATAAATTCGAGATTAATGGAGTGGCGGAATGCAGCTTTTATCACTCGAAATTAGGAGTTTCGCCTAACACGAGAACAGTTTCTAAAGCTCACGATCGTCATCATTTTGATTTGTCGTTGAAAACACGCGCTTTCAACGTTTTTTTGGTTGTCAGTGATTCCGTTTTGGTCGGTTTACAGGTATAAAGTATTAGTACATTTTTCACTGCTGTTGGCTGTAGCTTATGTGAAGTTTGAATTATTGATTTTGCGGTCTAAATAGTATTACTTCAGTACTTCTTTTCAACTATTGAGCTAGAAACTATAAACTATCAGCAGATTTTTTTTGTGTGAATTAGTTGAATAAAATATGTATCCTATGAGCTACGAATAGTGAGGTTTTACTACCTTTCTTGTTAAATCAAAGAAAGGGAGGCATTACTCAAATTTAACTAGTCTCCAACAAGAAGAAAAAGGAAGTTTAAATGTCATGAAATTGAGGATTTTAGAACCAGTAGTCAAGGACAGATTTTACACCAAACAGGGCAACAAAACAAGCAGACTTTAGCTCATAAGTTAGCCAAAAAGATACCAACATCTCCAAACCAAATACTGGAACGAGCTTGCCCAGCATAAACGATTTTAGTTTTATTTTTGACAAGTTCCTTAAGATGCCAATTTAGCATTGTTTTCTATTGATAAAGGTTTTACTTGTTCAAGCATCTTATTAACAGAGAATCTATTGGGGAAAAGTAGTGTTGTTGGCCTCTGGCATTAAGAATTAGTATGCAGGTTTCTGCTGTATGAACTGTGTGTTTGCCCAGGTTGTTGTGGCAATTAACACTGAAGAGAAGTTCAACATTGGGGTCATTAGATTAAAAAAAACAGATGTGTACTCCTTCGCTGATTAATAATAGCTCATTATTAGTTATTAAGTTTTTCTGATACGTATAGCAGCATATAACTGTAATCTTTTATTTTAGGAAACACATGTAATGGTAGTTTTTTATTTTTTGGAGAACTTGTAGTAGGAATTTTAGAGACATATGGAAATCGCAGGACATGTTCATCAATATTATTCTTTTTTCCTAAATAAACAGTTGACATTGATTTATGGAAATTCTCAGGCTCTGTCTATGATTATTTTCTGCAGTGCTTCAGGTACTGTTTCTTATGCTTAGTTCCACAATATTGTAATTCGTAACATCAGTTTTGCTATCATCACTATTTGGCTAGAGATCTAGCTTCTCCATATTCATCTACAGTAAATCAACATAAAACTGAAATTACTCTTTGTATGCTATCATTGCTTAACCACTCTTTCTATTTTATATCGAGGACCACCTTTATTTTGACACACTCAATTCATAAGCTCATCTACACGAAAAGGAAAATATCAGACATGATTTTTTTCTTATTTTGTGGGAAACTTCAACACATAATAACTGGATGTATCCTAATTAAGCCGGTGAAACATGATCTGAGCTCCATGTTGGGGTTGAAGAGTCATAACAGTATAAGGAGCATGGGCATAAGTTGGTGAGAGCTTGAAGGAGAATTGCTTTAGTATCATAGAGAGTGCAACCTTTGCTTCTATCATTGCAAAATTTTGGCCAATACAAGTCCTTGGTCCCCATCCAAATGGCATGAATGCCATCTGTGTTTGATCTTTGCAAGCATTTGAAATTCCTTCCGCGAACCTCTCTGGTTTAAATTCTTCTGCATCGTCTCCCCATAGCTCAGTATCGCGGTTAATTAGCATTATAGGTAGTGTCAGATCCATCCCTTCTGGAATTGAGAGATCTCCTATTCTACAGTCCTTGTAAGCACGTTTATATAGAGCAATCACTGGCGGATATAGCCTGAGAACTTCATTGAGTATCATTGTTACCTGCAAAAGACACAAGTTTGAAGTGGCTTATTACTCGTTTTGGCAAATTGAATTTGTTTCAAAGTAAAGATGAATACTCACAATTCTGAGGTGGCTTATTGCTTCAGCATCAGGATTCTTCTCCCTACATACATGTAAAACTTCTTGCCTTGCCTTTTCTTGCCAATCCTGGTGTATAGCCAAGACAATAAGAGTCCATGTCAATAAGCTTGCTGTTGTTTCATGACCAGCAAGGTAAAATTGTTTGCATTCTTCTATTATGTCCTCCATTGTCATATGGCTATTATTTAGTGAATTGTTCTCTCTGTTAGTTTGCAAGAGCAAACCAAGTAAGTCATCTCCCCTGGTTTGTCCAGTGCTGATCATGTTATCCTTTGTGTCGACGATTCTTTTAAGCATTGAAGTGATCCTTCTGTCCAGTTCCTTTCTTCTGCGATTCTTCTTTGTTGGAACAAATCTGTATATGATAATTTTTCAGAACTTTGACAAAATTTCTTAAGAAAGTCGTTGTAGTTGTTAAGAGGACATGTTCTATTACCTAAAACCGGGAATATATAACATTCCCATGGCTTCTATGACAAGTTGTTGCAGTTCTTTTTGAAGTTCTAGGATCTTCTTTCCATCTTCATAGCTACTTCCAAATGCTGTTCTTGAAATGATATCACCAGTAAGATCTTGAAATGCAGGCCAAATATCTATTTCTGAAGTTCCCTCATGGCTAATTGAGTTCATCCACTTCTCTATCATACATGCACAGCTTTCTGCAATTGTTGGGATCATGCCCTGTAAATGGAAATCAAAATGAATAAGATGTCCCCTTTGATTAGAGGCCGGTCAAAGATTTTAGCTTCATGAGTTCAACATTTAAAGTTTTTAAAACTGAGCTCACTGTACTTTTGAAATTACTGGTTGAGAATCTAACAAAAATGAGCATTCTTGAAGTCGAGAAACTAACCTTCAATTTTTCCAAGTGGAAAGCAGGGTTGATTATCTTTCTGTGCATAGCCCATTTTTCACCATGTAGAGTTGTCAATCCTTTAGTTAGAATCAGAATAAGAGGGTTCAATGGTGGTAAATGGAAGTGACCTTGCTTGTTTAAGAGCACTTCTTTTATCAATGTTGGATCCATGATGATCAATCTTGGTGATGTCCCAAGCCAACTAAGAGATATCTTCCCTGCAAGCATTTTCATTTTAGCTCATAAATTTTGTGAATTAAAATAATCTGATAATAGTGGTAAAATTTGTGTTGCAACCACGGGGGGAGCTATTCAGCGGCCAGTTACAACTTAGAACCCATAAACTTCAAATCCTAGCTTCGCCTCTGGTTGCATCTACTTGGAGGGAATAAGTGTCTTGAATTCTTTACAGTTAAGAAAAATATTCTTGATTTATAGCTTATATAATAGGAAAAGATGAAACTCGACTAGATAACAATAAAAAAAAAATGACTTTACCATATTTTTCGACCATATAATGCGTGAATGGATCAACACGTGGCGCAATATCGTGGGTTAAGCCAATTGGCTTGGACCAAGCTTCATCCATTTGCTTGCCAACATCTTTGAGGTCTCCAAGTAACAACTTGTAATGAGTGCCTTTGAATCCTTGCTGTTTCAAGCGCTTCTCCAGCAACTTTGGTTTTAACAGGATGGAGTAGCAAAATTTCAGAAGAAAATAGCTTAATATAAGCAAAGGAAACATAAATAGAGAAATGAATACGAGATTTGCCATCAGTATGAAAAAGTTTTATAATTCAATCCAGTTGCAATGCTTAAACTCTGAGATAACTACTATATGAGGGTAGTCATACTTATATATCCGTTTTCAATATTTGGCTTCAAAATTTAGTCAAATGTACTTGTTGGAAAAGTTAAAATGTTGACTAAGGATATAAATTAAACTTGATTAACTTGGAGAATAAGGCAACAATTATATATGTTCCTTTTCTAGAAAAGAACCAATTAAAGTTTGATTTGAGACTTGGACTAAACAAGTTTCTACAAAGGTGCAATAAGATAATACAATATGATAATTGAGCCTTGATGTCACTGGGCGTGCGATTTACTTTTGAGGTAGCTGTTGGCGGTGGCAAATAGTAGATTAAAAATTAGTCATCCCGCTATCCCAATATATATAATATTCTTTCTTTGTAATCTCTTTATAAAAGAGTAACATTTTTGTACAAGAAACGATTTAACTTAAAATTTCTCATTTATTTAGTGAGAGGATTTATAGTCATATAAATTTTTATGATTTATTTTGGATCATATGTTTCAAAAGTTTTTTTTTTTAAACTTCATGCTCAATCAAACAACCTCGTATAAATTGGAAGGGATAGAATTAGGAGCGTATCTAAGTCTTAGGGTATGGGTTCACGTGAAACCATTCTCCTCTCCCTAAATCATATATAGTAATGTTATATTTCTTAAAAATTACTTAATTATATGTGTGTGAACACATGCTTAAAGACTCCTATAGTGCAATAATCATTGGGTGCACCTCTACGAGTGAAATTGGTGGTTCAAATCCCACTCCGGACGGTCTTGTTTTCGGCACGGAGTATAGATATATACATGAAAATCATTAAAATTTAAAAAAATATATAATTTTGAACCTATAATTTCAAAAGTGTTATACTAAAGTTAAACTCGTCAAATATAAATTCTAAATCTGTATCTTCACAATAGCGCACCCATCCTCTTCAAATCATGGATCCGCCTCCGGATAGAATACTGAAATATAATTGTTGGTGTTAAAAACTTGAAGTACATAATTTCAAACTACGATACCCATGTGAACAACTAATTTTTGACCACATCCAAATTCTATACTATTTTAGTGTAAATATTTTCTTTAGGTATAATTAATATATATA